AGCAAAATAAAACTTAAAGCCAAAGTAATCAACAAACGACTCACTACAAGCTTTAAATTAAATTGATCTACACACATCTTCATTATCAAGACCGGTTGTCAGAGCAATGCTTAAGCGAGGTCTGAAAATAAATTGAATCACCCGAATACGGTAAAGTAATCAAAATGAGGCTTGTAGTATAATACCCCTTCAAAAGAGTTGTAGTTGCGAAGATTAATGCACATACCTTACAGTCAAATTTATAGGCAGCCACCTCAAAAATGAATTTATTCTTTCCACACCACCTCACCATGATAACCCAGCTAAGAGGATTGTTACATACTTGAACAAGATAAGACCAGCTCCACGCCATTTACAAAGAAAGGGAAATATTCCATCAAATAGAGAGTAAACATAAAAGTCTAACAGTACAAAGCAATTCAACCAAAATAGCTTCATCGACACCAATAAACACACACAATGACAATAAACTAAAATTTAAAAACCCTAGAAAGGCCACCCGACATAACTACTCGATTATGAAGCTGATGTGATCCTGATCAGCATCCATTTTCTCCATTGTTTGATCACACCATGGAAGATCATTAAGGCTAACTCTAAAGGAGTTCTACCTTACTTCGTCTTCTTTTTACTTGTTTATGTGTTCCTTTGTGATAAGGAGTTCCAAACAGCCATGGAAAGTATGTTTACATCAAGTTTGGGACGTGAGGAAGGAGGAATAATAAGGGAGGAATACTTTACTTTGCTTATGCATGAATTTGTATGAGAACTTAAAAGTTTGCATAACATTCATTTGTTTTAATAAGTGTGTTGTTCATTAAATAATTTATTGCATTTAAACATGTGTCTCATTTTGTTATGCACTTCATTTAACTAAGTAGTTCATTGATTAAACTAGTTCATTCATCAAACTAGTTCATTCAAGATTAGAAGTTCATTGAATAAAGTTAATTCATTAACTAAATTAGTTCATTCATCAAACTAGTTCATTTATTAAACTAACTCTTAATTGTTTCATGCATTTTTTCAATTAATTATTGAATAAAGTTCACCTTTGTGTCTAGGTGCATGGGAGAAGTTGAACGGTTTCATCAGTTGAAAGAATATCAGTCAGAATATCTTCCAATTATGGATGCGATACAAACATGTTTGAATCAAGAAATCAATTGGACATTATTTTGCTATCACTTATCTTTCCAACTTCTTTTGAAACACCTCAATCTGATATCAGGAGCTTGAGTTATGATCAATTTACTGAAGACATTGCAGGCTGGAATTTTCATTACGGGAATTTTATGCATGGATGATTTGGATGAGTTTGAGCTAAGGGAGAGTCTTTTCAACTTCAGCCAAGTGACAAGCCATTGAAGGACTCTTGATTCATACATCATTCAAAGCTGATTGTTATCATCTAAATTCAAGGGCTGTTCATATTCTTCAAGGTAGCATGCAATGAAGGTTGATTTAATTCACTTATTAAGATAATTTTCAACATGGAATAGCAAGAGTCTTCCACCCGTTGGACGAAATTAAGGCCAAATTCAGCTTCAAATTGTCTAGATTAATCCCCAAAATGATCTAGAATATTTAGCCAACCATGAAGATAAGAAGACAAATCATTCAAGTGCATTTTATTGCTAAATTGATGAGGATGTTTTCATCTTTTGAGTCTTTTCATATGATGCTTAGTAATACTATAAATAGTCACCTTTGGGATCATTTGTAGACACGCATTTTGAATAAATAAATACATCTTTGAGAGATTGCTTTCATTCTTATTCTCTTGTAGAACTTTATCGGCTTCAAGATAGTCTTGTAGTCTTCAGTCATTTCCTGTTGTTATAGCGTTGGTTCCTAGCTCATCTATAACTAGTGGGTCGTGTTCCATATCCTACCACTTCATTTCCACCTTTAATAGATTGTTGGTTCCTAACTCTTATATAGTTATAGGGTCGCAATCCATCCCTTTTTGAAGTTCTTCCTACTACATGCCAACTCCCTACCATCTTCACCAACATTTTCATTCTTTATTTTCCCTTAACCACATCCATCACTCTTCCTACGCTACTAAACCATTTCAACACATCTTTCATCATATCATTTCCATTTCTTACTTATCTATTTCTATTTTACAACATTATTTACATAATTCCATATTACATTCAAAATATTGCGAAGTTCTTACTAGAATCACAATCGGACATTCATATACATGACTCGAAACTCATAATCGAGATCATATCAGAAGCCACTATCGATTATCATTACAAGTAGAAAACGAAACAAAACTATACTTAATATCACCAAGCTTGGATACAACATGCTTTTTACAAACCTTCATTCACCAATCAAGCAACCAATCCACTAGAAAAATTCTCAACACGAATGGAAAAACTAACTCAAAACAGTAAACATAGCCCTGCCTAACCTAGCACGCCCCTCAATAATAACTTGCACTCCCAGAAAGCATTTTTCAATCTTGTCATTCTCTTACACCGATACCAACAAAACTTGCACGAAAATAGCCACAGAGACCCTGCTGATACAACACCTGAGCCCAACTACATCACCATCCAACTATTATCATTGACCCAACCAATATCGCACAAAACCACATAGAATAAGGGAAACAACACAATGACCCTTAAACACACAACAAGCGACATACAACATTCGGGAGAAACAAACCCTGCTGAGATACAAAAGTCCACCTCTGACCTTAAATCACCATACAACGCCTAACACCTTTCCATTACCCTAAAAGATGCTATATTCTAGTCACAAATGATGAATTTTCCATTGTATATCTCGATTCAACCCAAACAACACCAAAAGTCCCCGTATAAACCACTGTTGAAGAACCCCTAAAACTTATAATCAACATCATGCCAACATTTTCTAAAAAAACCCTTTTCGCCTAGAGATTATTTCTATGGCTCTAGCAGAAAGCCTTAAACCACCTTTTTATTCCTAAATAGAAAAAAAATCATCCCGGATTTAAAACAAAACACATCAAACCCCCTCATGTTCCACGAAGGGATCCTTAATCAAACATGTGAAATGCCTACTAAGCCCCCAATATCACTCACCTAATTCAACACATCTCCAACGACGCCAACTTCTAAAGAACCTTCCTTTCATCTCCAATCACTTGGATACCCAATTTCTTACCCAAAGAAAGGGTCTTTTTTGAGGTCGTATCAATCTATCGATTTTTTAAGTCAGTGTTAGATATAGATCTCCCCAAAAGCTCAGAAGAAACCAAATCTGATTTCTTTAATTTTTTCTTCTTCAATGCACTATCTTTATTTCATCGATCCACAATTGGAAGGACTTTATCTTGGATGTTTAGAAGTGAACCATACTTATTGTGACTTTTATTTTCGACTATTTAAATTCTGGAAAGAAAAACTTTACATCTGAATCATCCTCGTGGAACTTATCTTCTGCTTCACTCCTTAATTATGATCTTGATTCAACTAATTTTTATTCCCCAAAATTTTGACCTTGATATTATTTTGTTTGTCTACCTTATCAACTCATTTTTAATTTGTTTTTGCCCAACCCATCCCCCCATTAAACATTCATCCCAAGTATGCCACAAATAGATATATTTTTCCTATGTTCTTAAAGTGTCTATGGAACTTGCAATTGATATGGAAATTGATCTATTTTTTCTTCAAAAACGTCAAATAAAAAATACAACTTAATGAGAATTTAAATGATGAGTCTCCACAATGTGCGGAGGAGTATTTTAACTGCATCATTGATCAAGCAATTATTTCACTTTATAGGAGGTTTGAACAATATGAAAATGTGTTTGTATTTCTATTTTCTTTTAATAAATTCCATTTACTAGATGGTTTGAGTATAAAATCTTGTTGTAGCCATTTGGAATATGCACTTAAGAATGGTGATAAATGTTATATTTATAGTTATGACTTATACGTGGAGTTGAAGTTACTTCAAGAATTTTTTTCCCAAAAAAAAATTGGGGACTCTTGATATTTTAAAGTTTTTGAAGCGTGTCGATTGTTTTCCCAATGTAACTATTGCATACAGGATATCATTAATCATTCCTGTGACAGTTGCAACAGTCAAAATAAGATTTTCAAAGTTAAAACTGATAAAATCTTACTTGCGTGATTCTATGTCACATAAGAGGCTTAATGGACTAGCTTTGGTGGTAATCGAGAATGAGATTTCGGATAAAATTACTTATGAGGATTTGATTGGCCAATTTGCTTCAAAGAATGCTCGGAGGATTAGATTTTTCAAGTGATAATGTTGTATGTTTGTGAATGTCCCTTGTTGTTTTAGTTGTATTTTCTTAACAAAACTATGAAAATAATATATTTGATAAAGTTTAATTATTTTCTATGATTTATTAATAAAATATTAAATTAATTTTTCAAAGTAACAAAATATACTTTCTTCCCATAAGAATTAGGGACTTATTTTTAAAAATTTTCTGAATTGCTCATGACCCTAAAAATGTTCAAGATGACTCTGGTAACATTCCTATAGTTTACTCAAATTTGTATGTACCGGTGGTCTTGGGAGAGTGTTCACTGCCTACTCATCACTACACCAGCTTGTACCAACAATTTTAGTTCAAAAACACACAAAGCATTCAGGTAGTCATTGGTTTCTGTCTTGTACTTACTGAGATATTAGCTTATATTTTTGTTTTGAAGTGATCTATGGATATGTCAACTTTTGTCATTTGTAGTCCTTTTAGTGGCTATTCTTAATAAATTATTTTATTAGTGGAGACAAAAAAAATGTTGCTAGGTATCACCATTCACTTCATTTCTACTTCTCCGGAAACAACTGCAAATTCTGACCATAGTTGACATTAATACTTATTTCTTTCTTTTTCTTTTTGCTATATATTGTTTCTTAACACTGTAAAGTGCTTCTAAACTATTCAAGTTCCTTCACGATAGTGTTGATCGCTTTTCATATTTAATCATTTCTATTAATAATGCTTTCTCTTTACCACTGCCACATTGCATTTCCCTGGTGCAAACTTAGCTCACTGTTCCACTGAATGCATGCTTTCCATATTAATCTTGTAGGTTTCGGTCAGGCAGTGCCTGCACGTAGGGCATGAAGAATGTGAACCAAGCCATGTATCTATACAACTAGAATGAAATCCGTGGTTGCAGTTTGGCAAAATACGGAGACGCTCCCCGGCAGTGAACTCCGACAAGCATATAACACAAGCGGTGTCCAGGCCCGGCAGTTTCGGCCCGGTTGCGTATTTTATGATCGGGAAGCAATTTAAGGCTTTGTGCTCAACTCCTGCATCGGCTAACTCTGGCTCAGAAGAAGCAGCAACAGAAGATGAGCCTCTATTTGCACACTTGACCATACAGAACAAGCCAGAAGCGGAAATGATGGTGCAAACGAGGGCTAAGAGAACAACGGATGCATTTGTAAGCAAGGTTTCATTGATGGAATAACTGTGCCCTTCAGCTGGGTAAAGAGAGGAGTGTAAGAGAAATTTTCTCGAGTGGAAGCTTTGAAGCAACTCCTGGGAGAAATGGATGGATGTTACTGAAGTTGCCATTATTTGATTTCCTAGTGTTTTTCTTTTTTGGTTCAGATGGTTGAAGGAATTGGTTCCGTTGAAGTATTATATACATAAAAAAAGTGAATTAAGAGGTGGGAAGTCCATCACTCAAATCTTATTTCTGGTGGATAATTACAAATAGCAACTCCAAGGTCAATTTAACTTTTCAGCTGCCAGAAAAGTAGCATGTATTTTTCTCCACCCATTGATCCTTTCCATGGAAAATCTAGTCACTGACCGCTACTCGTGTTATCTGAATTTTCATTGGTAGTATTTGATTTAAGTGTACCCATTTAAAGAAAAAGTCTAAACACTTGTAAACGTGAAACGAATCCCGTTGTATGCTTTGGATATGGTTGAATTATTAAGAAAGATGATAATGACATGAATTAATTTCAACCTGAAACATACAACATATTAGAAATTATTCTCCAACTCAATAAGTGATATCAGTGGTTAAAATAGGGCGTCAATTTAGAGAAAATATTATTTTAGGATGTCAAATTTAAAAATTAAAAATTTAATATTTTTTAAGCGGATGAAAATTAATAATGAGTGTGGATTTATGTTTCAGAATGTTAATTTTTTAAATATATTAATTTATTTTTTTTAAAAATATTTATTTTTATTAAATATTAGGCTTAACTATAAAATAAGTATCCAAAATATAGTGTTTTTCACGAATAAGTATATAAACTATTTTTTAAATGATCTCAGTGCTTAACGTTACAAATGTTACCATTTTAGATGCCAAGGTCGTCAACGACGTAAATTTCCTCCATTAAGTGACACTATGGCAATTTTGAAATTTATTTTTAAAAGAATATTAAATATGTTATTATATTTATTAAAAAATATATAATTTCTCTTAAACTATAAAGAAGCCTTCAAATCCCTAAATTTCAAAATCCTAACCTTAACCCGTAGTTACTACCCTTTCTGGCCACGACCACTGCTATCAACGGACTCCATGTCATCCTCCTAGTCATACGCCGTCGTAGTTGTCGTCGATTGGTCATCAGAATCGTGTGAGATCACTATTTTTATCCTAGGGTTCACATGGTATAAAATGCCGATTCGCCATTGATCGATCACAATTTCATAGGGTTTTTGGGGTTGAAATGAAGGTTTTCAAAGTTTTGGAATTATTTCAAATATTTTGTGTCTATTTAAAATACATATATAATTTTAAATAAAAATTTTACAATTACCATATTGTGACACATGCCACTTGACGGAGAAAATTAAAACTGTTGACGGTCCAAACATCTAAAGTGATAACGTTTGACACCGAAATTATTAAAAAAATAATTTAGACACTTATTTGTGAAACCACTATAATTTAAACACTTTTTTTATATTTAAACCTAAATATTATCTTATAATTATAATAGAAAAAAATCAATCACCCTATTTTTTTTTAATTCTGTTTTTGTTCGAACCGGTTGTCCTGTCCGTTGATAAACTGAAAGTGGAAGGCAAACAGGGAAAAGGTAACAGAAAGCGATATTATTATTTTTATTAAAACAAAAAGCGATATTAATAAATGCTAATGTCCGATAAAGGGAAAAAAAGAAAAGAAAAAGAGGCAATGAGATTAACGTTTCGAGGGAGCCCAACACTGGCATTATTTTCACTGAAATAATTATAAATCATATGTGGAAAGGAAAAAAATCACCATCCAATAGCCAAGGAAAATGGCAAAATCGGTGAAATAATACAACAGGAAAAAAACATAGAATAATGTAGTTTATGAATTATTTTTTCATTTGGGGTGATTTCTACAGTAATACACGAGGTCGCCGACTGCTTCAAACGATCAACATAGGTCGTCATGTGCTCCGAACGACTTACATAAGTCGCACAGTGCGTCTTCGGCAAAAAGAGTAATTACCGATATAGGTAATCGTTATTACTTAAAGAAATTTAAGTAATCGTCATTCGAGCATATGGCGACCAACGTAGGTTATTTGGATAAATAATCCTTCGAGTGTAACGCGCTTTGTTAAACGTGTAAAAAACTCGGGTATTAATTTTGTAAATAATTTTAAACTTGTGCCTAACATGTAATTAATTTCTGTTAGGTTGATATTTGTACAAAAACGTCAACTTTATCTATTTATTTTTTTGTGATATTATTTTTAACAACAGTTAATAATGTTTATTGACTTTTAAAATTAATTGTTTAAAAATATTAAAGTATTAAAATAAAATTTTAATTAAAATTGACAGATCAAATGAATTATTATTCACTTTTTTAAAAATAAATAAAAATGAATAAAATTCAATAAAAATATAATGTAAAGCTAAAAAAATATCACCTCTTTATTTAAAATATTCTTTTTAATATTAATTTTAAAAATATAAAATAAATATTAAATTTTAATTTTAATTTTATTAAAAATGAATAAACATTATTAACTATTATTAAAAAATATTAATTAATGAATAATAATTCATTTGATCCATCAATTGTAATTAAAAGTTTATTTTAATATTTTTTTATATTTTTAAACAATTAATTTTAAAATACTCTATTCTCAAGACCTAAAGTAAAGTTTATAATTGTTAAACAGTAGTAGGTGTGGAAAACTACATTGTCTAACTATTGTCTAAATTGTCTAACTATTGTCTAAATATCAACTCAATTGTACCACGAATAAACATCCGATCAAAGAGTTGATCTTTTCTGCTCAATCTTCACAAAAATTGTTTTGTCTCATCATTTTCTCCCGCGTATGAGCTTCTTTCTTTTTATAACATTCATACAAAAGAATATATGTATTGTATAATTTCATGCAAAAATCAAAATTTGTCGAGTTATAAAATAATTTGTAAAAGAATATTTAAAAGTATTTTAAAATATGAATAATTTTATAAAAGTTTTATAACTATTATTTGTTTTACAAAATGATGATGATGATGATAATAAATATTTTATAATTTTAAAAATTATAAATTTCATATATTTTTGAAAAAATTATTGACTTTAATAATTAATTGTTTAAAAATATAAAAAATATTAAAATAAACTTTTAATTACAATTGACTTTTGCAATAAAAGTAACTCTACTTTTGATTTTTTTTTTGTGCACGTTGGCAACTATATTCAACAGAAAAGAATTGAAAAAGAAAGGATCTCATACGCGGGAGAAAATGATGAGAGAAAACAATTTTTGTGTAGATTGAGCAGAAAAGATCAACTCTTTGATCGGATGTTTATTCGTGGTATAATTGAGTTGATATTTAGACGGCAGTTAGACAATTTTGAGTTATTGACTTTGTAAGATCGAATTTTCATTTGATTCATGTAGCTTTCCACACCTACGACTGTTTTACAATCATAAATTTGACTAAAATAAACTTTTAATTACAATTGAGGGATTAAATGAATTATTATTCATTAATTATTATTTTTTAACAACAGTTAATAATGTTTATTCATTTTTAATAAAATTGAAATTTAATATTTAATTAATATTTTTTAAAATTAATATTAAAAAGAATATTTTAAATAAAGAGGTTATATTTTTTAGCTTTACATTATATTTTTATTGAATTTTATTCATTTTTAATTCTTTTTTATTGCATTTTTATTTTTTTAAAAAAATGTGAATAATAATTCATTTGATCTCTCAATTGTAATTAAAAGTTTATTTTAATATTTTTAAAAATTAATTTTAAAAGCCAATAAACATTAGTAATTGTTGTTAAAAATAATATCTGTTGAAATATTTTGATATTTCGATATAACAAATTAAGTTAAATAGATTTTAAGATTTTCCAAATGATTTTCTAAGTATATTCGATATAACTATTCGAATATCAAAACATTACTCCAAATATTTCAAAAATCATTTTTAATCCTTACTTAAGTGTAAAATTAAGTTTTAATCATAAAACAATTTCAAAATAATCTTACAAAGTATTTCGAACCAATTCAAAGCCAAAAATTACAGATTGCTCAGAGGGAACCGATTCTCCCCATAGGTGGAACCGATTCCCCCTAAATGGTTTTGGCTCCGAGAATTCCAGTATGCTCGGAGGGAACCGATCCCCCCCAAGGGGGTACCGATTCCCCCCTTGTACAACGGTCGAGGAATAAGGAAAGCATCAAACCTCAAGTTTGAGCATTCAAGCCTATTTTCATTCAATATTCATTTTGCTTTCAAGAACACTTTTTGTGCTCAATTGTATTCATCTTTGAGTGTTCTTTTCTTTGTTCTAGAATTGTGCAAACATCTTACCTTGTGAGGTTTTCTTGTAAGTTTGCAAATTTGTAATCTTCTCTTTGGGAAAAAATGTTCTCAAGAGTTGGGGTATACTCTTGAGGGAATTGTAAGGTTATCTCTTTGGCCTCAAAGAAAGAACAAATTAGTGAATTTGTTGGAAAATCCTTAGTGTGGATAGCTAAGGTAGTGGACGTAGACTTATTTGAGAAAGTCGAACCACTGTAAATCGCTGTGCAATTACTTTCAATTTTGCAAAAGCTTCCACAAAAAATTTTAATTGCCAATTCACCCCCCTCTTGGCCGATTCCGTCAATCGATTAACTCAACAATTGGTATCAGAGCCTAACTCATTTGAAGGTTTTCGCCTCTTGAGTCGATTCGGGAAGAGTTATCGATTATTAAAGTCACCAATGGCCTCCGCTTCAAACTTCGACTCGGTCTTGATTCGATGCCGTCAACAAGCCTCCTTTCTTCAATGGAGCTAACTATGCCTATTGGAAGAATAGAATGATGTACTTCATTCAAGCAAGTGACATGGGAGCATGGAATGCTGTAGAAGAAGGATATATCAAACCTCTCACTCATCCAAGGTTGTGGAGTGAAGGAGAGACAAAAATGTTCCAGCTCAACTCCAAAGCCATCCAATTTATTTTTTGTGCTCTTGGACCAGATGAATCGGAAGAGTTTCATCGTGTACAGCCGCCAAAGAAATATGGGACAAACTTCAAGTCACAATGAAGTACATATGAGGTAAAGATCAAAATT